GTTCCTTTTTTGCCTCAGGAGTTAATGTGCTAGGGGAATTTAGATCAGGATCTCCTCTAAGTGTAAAAAAGAGATTAGCCAAGTGTTCTGTAGTAATTTGGAGTGCTGGTCAAAGCCAAGAAATATCCCCTAAGAGTTTTGGAAAAGCATTAAGTGTTTTTAAAGAATTAAGGCCTTAAGTGTACTTTTGGTGGCTTCACCATTGTTTGGGTGACAATATGACTTAGGTAGTAAAATGGAGATTTTTCTTGAACTTTCTCTGGGGCTATAATAAGTCCATATTCGGCTAAAGCTAAATGAAGCTGAGGTAATAAATGTGTGAGTTCATTTTTAGTGGAACAGCTACAAAGCATGTCATCCATATAGTACGTTATTTTTGCGTTGGGAAATTTTTTCCTAATTGGTTGTATAGCTTTATTAACAAAATTTTGACACATTGTAGGACTGTTTTTCATGCCTTGAGGAAGGACTTTCTTTCCATCGAAACCTGGTTGTAGGTTGTTGTACATTAACACTGGGTATTGCAATGGAATAGTAAAAAAGCAATCTTGTAAATCAGTAAGTATCAAAGGCCAGAAAACAGGAATCATAGTGGGTGAGGGGAGAATGGGTTGGAGGGGACCCATAGTCACCATAGTGTCATTAATAGCTCGGAGGTCATGAAGCATCCTCCATTTCCCTGACTTCTTTTTAATAACAAAAACAGATGAACTCCAAGGACTTGTAGAGGGTTCTATATGTCCTTCTAAAAGTTGTTGTTTGACTAATTGTTTTAATGCAAAAAGCTTCTCCTTTGTCAAAGGCCACTGTTCCACCCAAACAGGTTTTTCAGATTTCCAGTGTATTTTATCAGCTTTATGGATAGGAAAAGCACAAACAGTGGCCCTCAGTATAAATTTTTTTTAGGGGGGGGTGCGGGAGAAAATGACAGCTCCCATTTGATGTAAAATATCGCTCCCCCAGCAATGAAGGGGAATTAATTGGGTTTCAGGTATCTATTATTCTACTAGTTTAAATTCATCCTTTGTTTGAGGTGTAAATATTCTTGGTGAGGTGTCTGAGGGTGGTAAAAAGATTAAATGATTGATTAGTGGTGATCTTCGAGGCAGGCTAAAGCTAATTAGTACCTTTAAGAAATATTTTGAAAATTATTAAGAGTTGTTAAGGAATCTTGCCTAATTTGTAATATTTTGGGGGTCTAATTGTAGACTGTGAAACAACATATCTAAAGTAAGCAAAGGGTAATTTCTTTTGTACCTTTTCAGGGGCAATTATAAATCTATGAGACTGAAGGGCTTGTTAAAGCTTAGGCGTCAATAAGGAGAGTTCGCTAGTAGTAGCACAACTGCAAAGTATATCATCCATATAAGGAAGTCTTTTTGCCTGGGAATATCTCTGTCTCACAGGTCTGATAGTGTTATGAACAAAATTTTGGTACATGGTGGGAAATATTCCTTCTTAAAGGAACACAATAGGGATACTTCAAATACTGATTTAATGGAGACAACTATACCCACATTCAAACTCAAAACAAAATTAGTTATAGTCCTAAGAGTCTTTTACCTCAAACAGCAAGCATCACTAATCACAGCTTAAAGCCAGATAGTTAATTTTATTCTCATGGAGTTGTAATAAGTAATAAAGTTGTAGTAGGACTCATATATATAAGAGATTTCACTTAACATCCTTTTTTCTCAAATTTAAACTTGTCTTGGTGTAAAAGCCAATCATTAGAAATCATTTCTATACACTTGCAAATTCTCAGTAAGCCAAATGAATTGTTTAGGAACTCTATAATGCAAACAAGTTCTTTTCTCAGGGCAGAATGACCTTGCCCACACAGATGGTTTCTAGGGACCTTGGCAAGTTTACAAACTAAAGGGAAATTGCCTTGTGCCCCTCCTTTTCACACACAAGTAACTAATTAACAATTCTAGGTTTTTACATTACAACAGCAACTCCAAATAAATTAATTAACAATCTGGTAATTTTCATAAGTGACAGTCAAATTGTTTTAACTATAAGCTGTTCTTTAATTACAGGTAAAGATGGAAATACCTGATTTTCTAATTCTCAGCTGTAAAACATTACAAGACAAGATTAGCAAGGCTTGATAAAATGATTTAAATGGTTTTACACAATTTTCCCACTGTCCTTCAGTTTCTTTTAGTTCACACTTTGATAAACTCCAAATTATGAAAAATTGCTTGACCTAACAATACAAAAGTTTACCAACTGGAAACAATACTAGATTTTTAAAACTTGAAGCAAATACATTACCGGTTAGAATGAACTAAGTTATCTTTTGGTTGTGTTCCAATACATAAAAACTTTTCTTTTTGATCTGAGGGGAAGAAGTTCACCCTCCTTTCCTCTTTCTCTTCCTCTCTCCCACACCCCAGCCCCGGGCCTAGTTGGGAGCCACAACCTGGCCAAAGCTGAATGGGGAAGAGGGGAACAAAAAATTTTCCAACAGCTTATCTTTCTTATCTTTCATTTCACACTCAAAAAGTTGGCCAGAGTCCAGAATGTAAAAAGAAAGAGAATTTTTTCCTAACAATTCTCCAAAAGTTTCCAAATCTTTTACTCTCAAACCCTCTGTTCACACTGTTCATTCAAACAGATTATGCTTTTCTTTCTACCCATACTTCCCTCATTCCTGCATGCTTAAACTTTCTTGTCTTTTACCAGTCATGTAACCTAAATAACAAAGTATTTTTCTCTCCTTCTCTCTCCCATCCACCTGCTCCTGTGAGGCAGCTGGTATTAGGGAGGGAGAAGGGGAGAAAGAAAGCGGAACTCGAGTCTAGGAATGCGATTCTTGCTACCTGGTTACAAAGGTTATCAGATTACATGCACGGATGCTTCAGTCATACCACACAGACAAACACAGAACAAATACAGAAAAAATATGACCGGGAAAATCCAAAAGCTTAGAGGGGTTGGTTAGAAATTCCTTGCATAAATCAAATAATATTTATTTCTATTTTTTCTTTTCATGGTTTTCCAGATGTTATGGAAACTGGGCAAAATTTTCCTTCAGGTCTTGGAGAAGGAGTTTTCTCCAGGGAGAACACACTTTAACCAAATGAGAGGAAAGAAAGCTTGAAGGTGTTGCTCTCTATTTTTAAACTGAATCTGACCCATTTTAAGGAGAGCAGAGAAATCCCTGAATAAGCCTAGTGTCTTGCTTCTTTCAACAGGAATAAATCCCTTTACCTCTTCCCATTGTTGTAGTGGAGCTCTGATTCAGTAAGGGCTGCTGTGTGGTGTCTCTTAGCCTCTTCTACTCCCCCAGGGTATAAAACTTTCCCATCCAAGGATCTAGTCGTCCCTGGTCAGGTGGCCAAGTGCCACCAGCCAGTGGGATGTATGACAGAGCAGTGGAAGAAAAAGGGGAAGGGGAACTGGAGAAAGAAAAGTTGGGCTAGGCAAGGCTGAGACTGATGCTCATAAGACTAGTTTATTTTCAGGGGTTACTAGATTATATAGAAAACAGCTTTGTACCATGAGAAATGATCTACAAGCACTAATTAATAACATAAACAATCTAAGCAGCTAAAGATCCACATTGAGAAAATAATTTTAATGCCAAATTTCCTATCTATTGTTTTCCCTGCCCAATTCTTAGTATTGTCTGCCTGAATCAGCCATCTAGCCTCAAGGCTAGGCATGAGCAAGAACTTAGAATCAACAAACCTTAACAAACAGAGCTAGGGCAAGAGTCATGGGAGCATTTATCCTGAAGCAAGCCTCTAAAGCACTGACCCCTAAAGTCTATAAGGACCTAGAGATTTTCCATAAGAACTTGGACTCCCACACCCATTAATTGGGAAATGGCTGAAAAAATTATGGTATATAAATATAAAATAATTTAAGAAAAAAAGGAGTGAGTTTCTGTATCTCAGTCTGGCTGGAAGTATAGGGACCAGAGAAGCTTTTATGTACTCTGTTTTCTGACCTGACCAGGTTCAGCCTTCCTTAGGCAACTTGGTGGCTTCCTGTGGGGATAGGGTGGGGTTCACCATATTGATAACAGACTTTGTGTTTAGCTTACTGTGGTTCAGAATTCCATTATAGCTGTGCATCAATAAAATATTCTTTTTGTTTTATTTTTTTCATCAATAAAATATTAATGTTACACAAAAAATCAGGAAATGGATGGATTCAGAGAAACCTGGGTAAGCCCTTAATGCAGAGGGAAGTGACCAAAACCAGAACAAATTTATACAATGGCATAAACATGATAGAGAAAAACAGCTTTGAAAGACTGAAGCACTGATCTGGGAGTGTGCTGATCAAGGCCAACTCCAGAAGACTCATGACGAACTTTGCATTTTCAGACATGGTCTATATATGAATTTGTTTTGCGTGACTATGTCTACTTCTTCAAGGAGAATTTTTTTTAAATACTGGTGAAAATTGGAGAGGAGAATTATGGAAGGAAAGAAGAGCTAGTAGAAATACAGAAAAAAAAAGTGTGAAGTATGTTTAAATGTGAAGAAAGAGTACAGAGCCTCAAAGAGATACAGAGAAGAGAGACAGCTTTTGGAGCTAAGGTGCTGACAGTATCCATATATATATGTTATACGTGATATATTGAGATATAGATATATATATATGCACACACACACATTGTAAATATACACATGTTCTTTAGTGTGTGTGTATCTATCTTGTAATGGCATATTCCTACACAAAGAGCATCAGGATTCCTCGAGGTTTTGTCTGCCCTGCTTCTCTTCTCTCTCACTCTTTTTACTCTCTCACTCTCCTTTTCTCCTGTATGTCATCTCTTTCCTCTCCTCTCCTTCTTACCCCCTCCCCCTTTGCCTCTGTCTCTCCCCCTTCTCCTTTGTCTTTGTCTCTCCGCAGTCTCTTAAGCGCTGCCCTCTCCCAAAGTCCCCTATGCCCTCCAAGGCCACCACCACCATCCTGCAGCACTTTCTCAGATTTCTGAGTCTGTTTTCACTCCATCGCCTTCCTCCCCCTCATCCCAGCATCTCTGGCATCCAGCGGGACGCCATTTCCCAGAATCCTTCTCGAGACCGGCCCTGGATCTCCCCGGTCTCGGCCTTACCCGGCCTGGGTCGCGAGGCATGCTGAGAATTGTAGTTCCCGTCTGAATCCGCGCAGACGCAGCTCGGGTTCGGAAGCGGCCGGGTTTGGAGCCTTGAGCACTTATTTGGGGGGGGGCCTTCGCTGCTGGCTGGTGAGTGGGAGCGAGGTGGTAGGGGTGGTTAGTGTTGGCACGCACGCGCGTGCCGAAGTATTTGAGTGTGTGTTAGCGCGCGTGCGAAAGTGCAAGTATCTGCACCCAGGTATGAAACTGAGTTTTTGTAGGCGCTAGTGTGAAAGTGGGTATCAGTGGGTGAAACGGAGTTTGTGTGCGCGTGTGTTTGTGTGTGTGAGTATAAAAGTGAGTGTGTGCAGGAAAAGAACGGGCAGGGGCGGGAGTGGAGAAGGGGCAGAGGGGGTCAGAATTCGAACCCAAGGGCGAGCACCAGAAAGGATGGGGGGCTGGCCCTGGAGAGGAGCTGAGGGTCCTCTTGCAGAGGTGACAGGGGAGCCCCTAACTGGGAGGAGAAGGGGATCCGCCCAGGACCGAGCCCTAGGGGCAGGCTGGGATCTATCAGTCAGCCAGCATTGATTAGGCGCCTCCTGTGTGCCGGCTCAGGGTCGAGTCGGAGGTGCCAGGAAAGGCAGGAGCACCTCTGCCGGGGGCGGGGCGGCAGCGTGTAATGTCAGGTGGCTGAGCAGAGCAGGGGTGCGGGGGCCGCTGGAACGGGCCGATTGTGACATTTTCCTTGTGTGTTTCATTCATCCATTTCATTTGGGCAGAGCCGGGTCCTCGTGTGGCTTTGCTGGTTGTCTATGCTTATAAAGTGGTGGGGGGAGGCTAGTAAGGAGGCCGAGTAAAGGTATTGAACCCTCCGCAGCAGGTGCCTGTGGTGCCAGAGGGTCCAGTGCTGGGAGGGGAGCAGCAGTAAAGGGGAAGGAACCCTGGGAAGGTCTGCAGGGGCCAGGTGTAAATACCAGAGGGCTTTGTCTTGGGTCCTGGAGGCAGTAGGGAGCCATTGTTGCTTATGGAGTAGGGGAGGGACAAGGTCAGAGCAGGCTTGAGGAAAATCCCTCTGGAGGCTGAGTGGAAGGTGGATTGGAGTGAAGAGAGGCTGGAGGCATGGAGACCAGAGTCCAGGCAGGAGCCTGTACTGGGACAGTGGCTGTGTGGATGGAGAAGGCTGTGTGGATGAGATGGGAAGAGAAATGATGAGATTTCACAACAGATGAGAGCTGGGGGAGAGGGATAAGAGAGAGAGGAGCCATGAATGATCTCAGAGACTGAGCCTGAGTGACAGGGAGGATGGGGATGCCTAGGACAGGAAGGGGAAAGCTAGGGATTAGAAAGGGTGTCAGGGGAGAGACTAAGTCCTGACTTGGACAGGTTGATTTGAATGTGCTTGTGGGACAGCTGGTGCATTTGAGATATTCGAAAGGCAGGGGACTATATGGGTCTGCAGTTCAGGAGAGAGACTAGATCTGTTGACCCAGGAAGCATCTGCTTAAGTTGATTGTGGCCCCCCTGGGAGTTAATGAGGTCAGCAAGCCAGATCACGTGGAGGGAGATGAGCCAAGGGCACAGGACAGAGCTTTGGGGTCAGCCATGGTCAGTTGGCTTTCTATGGGTGTCTCCGCAGTGCTTAGCACATTGCCTGGCATGTGGTAGACTCTTAATAAATATTGATTTGCTGTTGATACATGCTACGTCAGTAGTCATCTGAGTGTTAGAAGTAAGGGTGGGTCACACAATATAAATTTGTAGCAATGCTGTCCAGTGGTCATCAGTTTCCAGGTGGAAGGGACATTCCATGTCATCTCTCTACTCCAAGTGCCTCATTTTATAGATGAGGAATCCTAGGTGAAGACTTAGGAGAGGTCAGACAGGCAGGGGGAGAACCAGGACAGGAGAGGGTCATGAAAACCTAGAGAGGAGAGTATCCAGGAGGAGACAGGTGCCAACATGGACAGAGGCTCCCAGATAATGATATGGAGGTGAGGGGGTGTGCTATGCCTGTAGCCAGATCTCCCAGTGTGGTCATCCTCATTCTACCCAAAAACAATGAGATTACTCTAAGATAACCTGTTCTAGATGAAGATCCTTCCCACTTCTAGATGTCTCCTAGTAGTTTTTAATAGTCATTGAATTAATGGTTTTAAAATAATTAGTAGAATGATAATGAGTAATTAATTGTTAATAGTAATTAAATCAATAGTTTTAATAATTAGTGTAATGAGAGTCATTTTGAGTAGTCAATTAAAGTTAGACCCTTTAATAACAGGGTCTAGAAATTTGCCACAAATCAAAGTCAAGCTCACTGGCCTGTAGTTTAGGCTCCTTTTTCTTTCCTTTTTTGAAGGCTGGGATAGCCTTTGCCCTTTCCCAGTTCGTTGGCACCTCTCATGTTGTTTACCGTCTTTTTGAGTTCCCTGAGAATGACTCCAAGAAATCATCTCTGCCATGACTTTCAGTAGCCTGGTGAATGAGAGTCACTCAGTGCAGTGGTCTGGAGGCAGGGCATTTGGGTGAGTTTTCATTTTCCACAGAGGCTTGATCAGCTTGTTCTGCTCATTTTATTTGCTACTTTTGGCAGCACCCTGGTGTTTGGGAATGACAGACAGGATTGATCTCCCTCCTGACTTCTTTCTCCTCCTCCTGTTCTGACTCCTCAGTGCTCTGCTCTTCTGCAAGAAAGAAAAATTAAGGAGGAGAAGGGAATGACTTCTGTGCTCCTAACAGCCAGATCCCAGGTGAGTTGGGATATCCCCCCCTCCCCAAAATGCCATCATTTTTCTCAAAGTATATTTAGAACCTTTTCTTTCCCTCATTTTCTGCTGTCTTCAGTGAAGTTGCTTCTAGGGGCCTGAACCTCAGCTTTTGTAGATAGTATCAATTTTGACTGATAATACAGGCTAAGAGGAAAGGGCACCGTGCTAATAGCTGATGTCTCCTTTGAATATTTATTCATTTGTTCAGCCTGTTATGGAGCCAATACTGACCTAAGCTCTTTGAGGTGAAGAAGCCTAATGCCTGGTTCAGGTCCTCAAACAGTGTCACTGAGGCAGTAAGTCATACTCACCAGAAGCAATTTTTTTAAATGGTTGCATTGATGAATCTTGTCTTCATACAAAGCTCCGTATTACTCTTATTTTGATTCTCCCATAATGTATAATACCAGAAAACATGTAAGTGAAACAAGATAAGTGAATGATTATAACTGCAACCGCCCTGTTCATTACCGTATTACATCTGAACTACTGAAACAGTTCAATGATTCAAGTACCTGCTACAAAATCATCCTCCACTCATCTAAATGATCTTCATAAAGCCCAGGTCTGACCACATCACCCCTCTACTTAGGAAACTCCGGTGATTCCCTATCACCTCCAGGATCAGCTATAAAATCTTGTTCAGCATTTGGAGCCCTTTATATCCTAGCCTTCCCCTACCTTCCCAGGCTTTTTACCCCTAATGCTCTCAACCTGTATTTTATGATCCAGGGAGTCAGGCTTCCTTGCTGTTTCTTGAGCAAGATGCTCCATCCATGCTTGAAATGCCCTCCCTTCTCATCTCCACCTCCTAGATTCTCCAGGTTCCTTCAAGTCCCAGCTAAAATGTCAGCATCTACAGGAAGCCTTTCCTAATCCCCCTTCATTCTAGTGCCTTCTGTCCTTTGGATCTCTCCCATTTGTGCTGTATATAGCTTGTTCGTACATAGTTCTTTGCAGGTTGTCTCTTCCACTAGACTGTGAACTCTGTGAGAGCAGGGAGTCTGCCTTTTGGCTCTCTATGCGTGTCTCCCCAGTGCTTAGCACAGTGCCTGGCACGTAGTAGACTCTTAATAAATATTGATTTAGTGTTAATACATGCTACATCAGTAGTCACCTGAGTGTTAGAAGTTAGGGTGGGTCACAATATAAATTTGTAGCAATGCTGTCCAGTGGTCATCAGTTTCCAGGTGGAAGGGACATTCCATGTGATCTCTCTACTCCAAGTGCCTCATTGTATAGATGAGGAAGCATGTCCAGAGAGGTTGTGATTTGGCAAAGGTCACACAGCTAGCAATTGGTAGAGCTCACATTTGAACCGAGGCTCTCCTGCTGCACATCCATCACTTTCTAGTAGCCATGCTGTGATTGATCCGATATCTGTTACCATTTAAAGTTGTTTTCATTCACTTAGCTGTTGTAGTTGTGTATATCATTCTTTGATTATGCCCTAATGAGTCTATATCATTTTTTACAGATCTTCCCTCTGTTTGTTTGAAATCTTTCTATTTGTCATTCCTTATAACACATTCCTGTGTCTTTTGGGACAGAGTTTCAGGGTGGGGTAGAGTTGGAGTTTTTTTAAACTAAAAAAAAATTTATATATATGTATATACACACACACATACATATATTACATGTATGTATATATGATACATAATTATATATATAATATGTATGTATATACATGTGGTTTTTTTTGCACGTGTGTTTTTTCCTGTTGTTAATAAATAGCTTAAGATATAAAACCTTATTAATTGTGGGAACAGGTAGCTTGGGCAGAGAGTATAAATAGCTTTGTAACTTTTCTTGTGGAATTCCAAAGGATTTTCTAACATAGCTGGACCACCTTGCATCTCCAGGACCAGGGAATGTTTGCCTCTGTTTTCACATCTCCAGATACATTGAATCTTTCTGGCTTTGGCAATTTGGTGTCAACTAAAATGGCAGAGTTTGCATTTGTCTGGTCATTAATCATGTTGAGGTTCTTGAACGTTTGCATTATATCTTTTGGGAATTTTTCACTAATATCTTTTCCCATTTATGTACTAGGGGTAGGGGTTTGGTATAAATTCTTTGTGGATTTTGGATGTCACATGTTTATCAGTTGCAGTGTCCTCAGAGATTAGCACAAGCGCATCTTCTCTTGGGGTCACAGATCTTAAGGTGGAAGGGACTTCTGAGGCCTTGAATTCCAAGCCTCTCACTTTACACTTGAGGAAACTGAGGTTTAGGGAGCACAAGAGACTTGTCCAAGACCACACAGGTGTCATAAGTTTCAGAGGTGACATTTGAACTCATGTCCTCTGATTTCAGAGCAAGTGCTCTTTCTACTGTACTTCTCTCTCTCTGTTTTTTTTTTTTATTCTACACATGTATATTTTGTATCAGCAAAAGCTTTTTATTCTCATGGAATTGAAGTAATCTATTTTCCCTTTTGAGCCCATCCACTAAAATACCGTCCTATCCCAAAACAACTATATTACTATTCTTTCTGTGTCCTATAGTTGTACAGTTCACTTTTTTCTACCAAAGTATGAGCTTCATAGACTTGAAGACTATATGTCATATACGTTATAGTGAGAATTCTTTTGGTTTATGGTTTCAGCCTTCCTGTGAGGTCATTTCCAAGTCACAGATTCTGTGGTTCTGTGACTACATTTATCCCTGTTGAATTTCCCTTTATTACTGTTGGTTCAATTCTCTAGACGATGAGAAACTCAAGCTCCAACTTTTTGAGTCCAATATGATGAGCATGCGATATGCCATCTCTGCTTCTATCCAAATCATAGACAAAAATGTTAAGATGTCACCGGGTCAAACACTGCCCTCTTGGGCACTGCACTGGACACGTCCTGGGAACTTGTTGTTGAATCAGCAACGACCACTCTGCATTTTGCCATCCGACAATCTTGAATCTATTCAGTTGTGTTGTTGAGTAGTTCATAATTCTCAATCTCCTTTAAATCTGTATTGAGATATTTTATCAAAAGCCTCGTTGAAACCCCCCTTTCATGCAGAAGTGATCCCATTCCTTCCTGTCTTCTTTAGCAGACTGTCTGTCCCCCAATCACCCTTCCTCTCTTACTGGTGTTCAGTCATTCCTTCCCTGCCTACTGGTTGTTTTCCTGCTGCCTACAAGCAAGCCCATGTCTACTCCATCCTCAGAAAACACACACCCTACTTGATACGTCTTTCCCTGCCAGCTGTGGTCCGATATTTTTGTTCCCTTTTGTGGCTTAATTCCTTAAGAAGGCTATCTACAGCTGTTGCCCTCAGTTTCTTTCCTCTCACTCTTTTCTTAACTCTCTTCATTCTGGCTGCCAGGGAGAGCCATAGAGGAGTAGAAATCAGGGCTGCAGCATCTAGTCCCATCCCCTGTTATTGCTACCCAGTGGACTGTTATTTTTATCCCCATTTTACAGATGAGAAAGAGGTTGTAAATCTGTTAATAAGAAAGTATCATTCTGGAGCTTGGCATTAGATGAAATATGGGCACAAGTCAAGTAGCCAGCTGATGGGTGAATGAAAAGAGACACTGATCTACCAAGATATGATGGCAGCTGGTACATTTGTAAACCTTGAAGCCCATTGTGAGTATGTGATTGGTAGTTTTTCCAGTTACCATCGCTGGGCTCTCAGTTTTACCCTGATGTGGTTTTGGGGTGTTGTGTGCTGGGCCAGCCTTAGACCAGTGCCCTGGTAGTTTATTCAGAAAGGATGGAAATCCAGGATTCAGCTGAATGACATGCCCTTAAGTTCCACCAGCCAAGCATCAGAGAGGATGCCTGAACTTTCCCAAGGCAGTTTTGTGCTCAGATGACCAGCAGGTGATGTCAATAGCCTGAGCCTTTCATTCCCTGGGCCAACCAATTCCCTAGATTGGTCTCAATACCTTTTAAGGAAAAACTAGCCTGACTTGGATGGGGGCAGGGGTTAGGAAATTGCTCCTATGGCAGGGGGGTTTCCAAGTATGACTTACTGTGGGAGTTCATTTGTAAGACTGACTTTGAATAGGAAACTTTTCTGCAATATTAAGTCCAGTATAAAATGGTGTATCCAATAAGTAATTTCTCCAGAAATACTAAAATTCTGCTTAATGCTTTGAGAAACAGTGCCTTTCCATTCTGCCAAGTTCATGTCTTTCTCATATGCCCCATGAGGGCTGGTCCCCAAGTGAGCATGTGTCTTGTTTGCTATTTCAGATACCACTGACATTCCAAGATGTGGCTGTGGACTTCACCTGGGAGGAATGGGGGCTCTTGGAACCTTCTCAGAAGGACATGTATTGGGATGTGATGCTGGAGAACTATGAGAATTTTGTCTCCCTTGGTAAGGTCAGCTCTCCCCCAGCCAGATAATCAGCTTCCCTTGGGTTGTCTTTGCATTTCCTCTTGCTGACCGATGCCTGAAGTACTTCCCTTCTCCTGGAGGGATAATGTCCTGAATGCACCTGATAGGGAGTGATTTCACATTTGTTTGGTACCCAGGGTCACTGGTGTTTGTGCTCTCTCTGCTTAAGTGAAAGGTGTTTGTGTACAATGGGAAATCAGTAGTTTCATTGTGCTGCCCTAAGACTGTATACCTCTGATACTGGCTGTTCATTCAATTCAGTCAGTTGCCTCAAAGAGCCAATGTTGTACTGTAACAAATGGGAGACAGAGACCCAATCTGAAATTTAATGTGGAGGTTGATTGAAGCTCAGCTGCAAGGGGTACGCACACCCAAATCAAGCAGCAGCGATCAGGGGCCGAGCTAGGGTTTATATGGAAAAGAGCATGGGAAAGAAATGCCAGGAACACTGATGAGGTAATCCAAAGGTGCAGGTGTGTTTGGGGGCTATGGATGGGAAAGTACAGGGAGTATACCGGACAGGGAGGGGCATGGATCTTTGGAGTCTGGCAGGAGGAAGAGTCCTTGGGCTGGCCAAGGACACCCCTCTCCCTCTGTCTTGATGAGAGAATGCTCTGCAACAAGGGAAAGCTTTCTTACAAGACAGGAACTTACTAAGGAATTGGGAGGCTTCCAGAGACATGATCTGAGGGCTGGGGCCTGAGCAGCCCAGCTCAGTGTAGCTGTACCAGGGAGAGAGATAAGGGTCGTGCTGAGGCCCATGCCTGAATAACTGCTAGGCACAGTGTCCTTGGGCTGGGGAGAAACTGTCAGGGATAGTGTTTCTGAGGCCAGGGAGAAATTGGGGTACAAGTACAAGCACAAGCACCCGAGCACCCCATCATTACAGATCAGAGATCACACAAACCAGACCAGGTGTCCTGGTCTCTGGTATAAACATAATTATCTAAAGCAGTGAATGTTGCAAGCTTTCTTATCCATTTGCGTTGGAGGTACGGGCTATGCTGAGCTAGGCAAGAGTGCATTTCACTATTGTTTAGATTTAGGAGGAAAGAGGTCTGGGGCAAGATTAAGCAGTAATTCCTGTTTTTTCATGGCTTAAAGGGGCCTACTACCTAAAATGGTAAAATAATGTTCTGCATTACACCAGTGTAGATACTTGGAAGACTTGAACAGTTTGCATTTTCCTAGCAGAGGATGTGTTAGGATAAAGTCATTTCCTTTGAGCTGGTGACCCATCCCCCATGCTTCCTGGGAATACCATATGGAGAACACTTCAGGAATCCTTTGTCCTTCCATCTGGGTCTGGCCTGACATTCCCTTTGTTCTGTAATGAGAGACAGGGCAAGACTGAATCCTGGGTTCTATCTCTGACCTCAGCACTCTCCCATTTATTTCCACACAAGGAGGCATTCCTGTTTCCTTCCCAGATGTGATTTCTCAGATGGAAAGAATAGAAGCCCCATGGATGACAGAGAGAGGAGTCCTGGTTAGCGCTTTTCTAGGTGAGTGAGCAAATGAGTAAGTGAAGAATTAATGGATGGAAATCTTGGTGAGCGCAGTCACAAATGGTCACTGTAGGTGTTGGACTGGGAGCAGAAGCGCTATTTCTGTTTCACTTGAGTTCTCTCCTATGAACTCCTCTTTCACTTAAAACATCACTTTGCTGACCTCCCTACACTCATTCCTAGTCTCTTTGAGAAAGGGTTTTCTTTTTTCTAATGCCAGCCCCTCAACTTGGACTCTGGTTCCCACAATTTCCTGTCTCCTTCTGTTTAATTTTTCTTGCAGCTGTAATACCTCTTTTCAGATCTTTCTGCTTTCAAGCTATGTCTAACTGTACATATGCATGCATGTATGTATATACATATATGCACATATATATACACACAAGTATAAATCCAATTTTAATTTAAAACAAAATTCTTTCATTGATCTTGTTGCTTGTTTTATATTCTTTGCATTTTTTATCTTTCCTTTCTGTGTGAGACCCCATCACCACCGCCCAAAATATCATCTACAAGCTTTTTTCTCCCAGTCTTCCTCTCTACCTCCTATCTTCCTTCTTCCTGTCTCTCTTTTTCTCTCTTCTCTTCCTTCTCCAATACCTCCCTGTCTTCCTCTGTCTCATCTTCTCTCCCTCTGCTTGGAGCTGGCCAAACCATAGCATTATGACTACCTGATTATATAATTTCACCTTTTTAAATATACTTTATATTTATATTTTATACTTATATACTTATACATATATCATATATATAAAATATGCTTATCCTGTACTTATATTTTAATATACTTTCAACCCCTCCTCCTATTCCCCACCTCTACTCCCATCTCTTTCCCTTGAAATACTGCAATCTGGCTTCTGTCTCACTGCTTTATGGAAAATGATCTTCTAAGTTCCCCCTTTGATTTTGTGATAGTATCAATAGTTTATACATAAAGATAATTTTCTTTCTCACCTATGTACTTCTCTAACCTGTGAGCCATGTATGTATTACTGTCTGCATTTTATAGTTGCAGCTGCTGAAACTCAGGGAAGTTTTTTACTGTCCATGATTGTTTGCCTAGTAGCTGTAGTAACTAGGACTCCAATAGAGGCTTGCTCTATTCCTCTTTCTACACCCAGTGTTTTTCCTGTGCTTCTCTTCTATTTTCCAAGGATATTTTCTCAAATTTTAATCTTGTCCCACTCTACCACATTTCAACTATAACCAGCCCTTAATGGTACTTCTTGGGGATGATGCCTGTGGGACCCTCAATCTTGTATAGGTTTTACTAGATGGCTGCTGGGGTGTTTTCCACCTCAAAGGTTCTGTGGGAATCCCATCATGCTTTGCCTTGCCTGTTGTGGTATGCCACTATTTAGGAAGTGTGTTGGCATAGGGGAGAAGATGGATGTAGCCAAAGATGGGTCAAAGAGGAAGATTTAGGCAGGGACTGGAGTCTGATAAAAGTTGGAAAGATGGCCTGGGAGTCAGTAGATAATAGCTACAAGAATGAGAGACAATGGTGCAACTTGAGTGAATGGACTACCAAAGAGGTGAAGCTCTGGTGTGATGATGGTGGAGCAGTGATCTGAACTGGATAACAGATTGAGAAATGGCCAGAATTCTAGAAGCAGTCAGTGGGTGATGTGATTCCTGCACAAAACTCAGAATTGTTGTGGATATGATTGTGATGGTTTCCAATTGCCGAATGCTGAATTCAAAGCTAGGGATAGATCCCTCAGGCACTCCTTTCAGAACTCTTAACAAGTTAACATCTAGATATTAATGAATCTTTATTGGGCCAATCATGCTACCTTCCTTTTCTACTGTCTAGCTCATCCCTCTTCTTGTCTATAAGAATAGCTTGAGGATAACCAGAGTCAGTGCTTACTGTCGGTCTATGTTCAGCTTAGGGTCAACTAAAATTTTCAGGCCTTTTGAACATGATCTGCTGCTCAACTATGTCTCTGCAATCCTGTATTTCTACAGTTGATATCCTGAGTGTAGGAATTCACGTTTATCCTTATTAAATTACGCGTTGTTTATGCTATCCCATTTTTCTATCCTTTTGAGTTTTTTTTATCTTGGTTTATTTATCTAATACATTTGGTATGTCACATACACTTGTGTCATCAACAGTATCGGTAAGAGTGCTCTCAATGATTTCATTAAATTTTTGGATAAAAATATTGAAGAAGCTGCCTTTACCAGTGCATGTTGACCCCTTCTCTGCTGCTTGTAGGCTTAAAGAGTTTCCTGGAAACTTGAGAGGTTAAATAACTTGCCCAGACAGTGTGTGTCAAGAGGAGGGACTCCCAATCTGGCTCTCCAGTGATCAAGTCAGGCTTTTTCTTGTGTGTCAATAGCAGTTTTGGTAAGAGTGCTATGTAGGGTTCATCAAAAATGGCAAGTTTAGGGCAGCTAGGTGGTACATTGGATAGAGCACAGGCTCTGCAGTCAGGTGGACCTGAATTCAAATCTGGCCTCAGACGCTTGACACTTCCTAGTTATGTGACCATGGGCAAGTCACTTAACCCCATTGCCTAACAAAAAAAGAAACAACAACAACTAAAAATGGCAACTTTGTCAGGGCCACATCCACAATTCTAAGGCATAAAACCAGAGAATGTACTATAGGTTCACAAGAGCTCCATATTCTAGACTTTTGGAGTAAAGTTATTTGAGCAGCTAAAAGGTCACTGAGTTGTTCTCTCATCTAACCCACATTTGTTTTTGTTTTATTATCAAACATGTCTTAAGAGTCTTTTCTAAATGGGTAGTTGAAATCTAGGTGCCTTGATGCCTATGGCAACACCACATGTACCAGCCCATTCATCTTGTAAATAAAGGAAGTGTGGTTGGTTTGCATAATCTCTTCTTATTGAATTTATGCTGTGATTTAGGAATCAACATTTTTCCCCCTAAGTGATTACAAATCATTGATTTGGTAGGTTTTCCTTTATATTTTCCTGGAAATTATTTTCTTTTTAGTCACAAGTTTCTAAAATTAAACTCTTTTTTCTTTCTAAACAGGTAGACATTTCCCTAAGTAAAACCAATATTGAAATTCTGATGCTATCTACAAATTCTTTCACTATTTTGTAATTAATTCAATTAACTCCTGAGGACAGATCAGTTACTAATTCCTCACCTGTTTTGGGTTTAAATTTCCTGGTAACAAATGATCGTTCTATTTTTTCCATATTGAAGGAAAAGATGTAGTCTAGAACATAGCACAAATACCTTTACTTTGATCAGAGTTCTAAAGTTCCTGGTTTGGAGGAAAATGTATATTGACATGTTTTTGTTATTTTCAGATTCTCCTAATCAGAAGACAAGATGTGAAACCAAGGAGACAACTGGGAAGCAGGATATTTTTCTGGGACAGTCATTGAAAGAGAGATTCATAAAGGAAGGGCTGTGGCATTCCACATTGGGAGAAACTTGGGATTGTGACATAAGGTTAGAAAGGCAGAAAGAAAACCATGAAACACAGTCTGAGGAGGTAATATTCACTAATGAATCTACTCGTGAATGTAATATATTTGGGAGAAAGCTCAACCTGGGGTCACTTATTTTTCCACAACGGAGAGTTCATATAGGAGAAAATCTTCCTAAGTACAGTACCCTTGGAAAGAGTTTGAAGCAGTTTTTTGACCCACTTAAACCTAAGAAAATCTCCATTGGGAAGAAACTCAAGTATAAGAAATGCAGGAAACCCTTCAGTTACCAGGCAGACCTTATTCTTTACCATAGAACACATCCTCAAGGGAAACCCCATAATTGTAATGAATGTAACAGATCTTTCAGCAAGAAAGGAAGCCTTAATGCACATAAACTGATTCATACTGGAGAGAAACAGTTTGAATGTAGTACCTGTGGGAGAGGCTTCAGATACCATTCATCTCTTAAGCAACATCAGATAATTCATACTGGTGAGAAACCTTATAAATGCAATGAGTGTGGGAAAGGCTTTAACCAGAGGGGAATCCTTAAGACGCATAAATTGATTCATACTAGAGAAAAACACCTGAAATGTAATGTATGTGGAAAGGCTTCAGATATACGTGCCCTTAGAGACATAAGAAAATGCATACTGGAGAGAAACCACATATATGTAATGAATGTGGGAAAGCCTTCATCCTGAAGGGAAACTTTATAAACCACAAGAGATTTCATTCAGGTGAGATGCCTTTTGAATGCAATGAATGTGGGAAAGCCTTTGTCTTGAGAAGAGATCTCAACAAACACAAGACAATTCATACTGGTGAGAAACCCTATATGTGCAATGAATGTGGGAAAGCCTTCAGGTGGAATGGGAAGCCTTAAATCACATAAGAGAATTCATACTGGAGAGAAACCCTATGTATGTAATGAATGTGGGAAAGCATTCACCAATTATCAAAGCCTAACTTATCATCAGATATTTCATCCTGGAGAGAAAATTTTTCAGTGTAATGAATGTGAGAAAGCATTCACACAGAGGGCAAATCTTAATCGACATAAGAGAATTCATACTGGAGAAAAGCCCTATATATGTAATCAATGTGGGAAAGCCTTTATTGTGATGGGAAACCTTAAAAGACATATGAGAATTCATACTGGAGAGAAACCCTATAAATGCAGTGATTGTGGAAAAGCCTTCACCAATCATCAAAGCCTAATTCATCATCAAATAACTCATACTGGAGAGAAAACCTTTCAGTGCAATGAATGTAAGAAAGTCTTTGCCACAAGGGGAAACCTTAACATACATAAGAAAGTTCATACTGGAGAGAAACCCTATGTGTGTAATGAATGTGGGAAAGCATTCAACCTCAAGGGAAATCTGAATATACATAAAAAAATTCATACTGGAGAGAAACCCTTCGAATGTAGTGATTGTGGAAAATCCTTCAGACAGAATGGAAGTCTTAAAAGACATAAAAGAATTCATACTGGAGAGAAACCCTATGAATGTAATGAATGTGGAAAAGCCTTCACCAATCAACAAAGCCTAATTTACCATCAAGTATATCATACTAGAGAGAGACCCTTTCAATGCAATGAATGTGGGAAAACCTTCATCCTTAAAGGAAAACTTAATAGACATTCAAGAACTCATAAGGGAAGCCTTTAACCAGATGGGGAAAATCGACATAAAACAACTCTTATTTGGAAAAACACATTGAGTTTAATGAATGTTGCAAAGCCTTTAGCCAGAAGGGAAAATATAAAATATATTTTAAAATCCATACTAGGGAGAAACCCTATAAATATAGTTATGAAAGTCTAAATTCCCATCACTATTTCATTGCGATAGAACTATCAGTATGAGAAATGACTTATACTAGAGAGAAAATCTTTCATGCAATGAAGGTAAGAAAGTCTTTGCCACAAGGGAAACCTTAATGTGTGTATAAGAAAGTTCATACCGGAGGGAAACCTTATGTATGTAATGAATCTGGGTAAGCCTTCAATTGGAAGGGAAGCCTTAATTCATGTAAGAGAATTCACTCAGTGAGATGATCTTTGAATTTTAGTAATATGGGAAAACTTTCACCAGTAATCAAAGTCTAACCCAACATTAAATATTTTTCATGCTTAAGAGAAATCCTTTCAGTATGAGTGCCAAAAAGCTTTCAAATGGAGTAGAAATCTTAAAGAATATAACAGTTCTTTCTTACTAGTGATAAATTTTTTGATTGTAATGAATGTAGAAGAGTCTGGTCCAAACTTTCTTTTACATAATAAAATTCATAATAGAAGAACTCTTTGAATATAAGCAATACAGGGAGATGTTTAGGTCTAGCACATTGATTAGGGAACATCAGATAATTTGTACTGGAGAAAAACCCATTTACACTTAGGGAAATTGGGAACGCCTTCAGAAAAAGTAGAGTATTATTGCACATCGATGAATTCATGCAGGTCCTTTCAGGGTAACTGATGTAAGGACAGAGTAATGTCAGCATAGGCTAAGGGAGCAGTTACTGTTAGAAGTGAGGGGAGGCAGAATTCGGGGAAGCTAATTGCCTTCTTTGGGAATGATATTCTGAACAGCAAAGGGGAAGCCAGGATGAATTCATATAGAAGATTGAATTATATATTCTACTTTAACCTAGAGAGACAAACAAGAGTAGAAGTTGTAAAGAGGCAGATTCCAGTTCATTATAAAATCTAAGGAGGCCTAGAAAGCTTGAGTCTAACTGAAAAGTAGTAGTTAAAGCATAATAAGGTAGGATTGTGAGACATGTGTGTTTCACTTAGCTCTTGTTCTGGTTCCCGGTTTCAGTTACATGCCACTGGTAGAAGTTCTTATGCAGAACTCCTGTGGGACATTAGGAGTAATTACTTAAGAAATTCTTTGTGAGGACACAGGCTCAACATCTATAACATATTGGGAGTTATGAGGAATGTTCTAACTCAAAGCCAAATAATGACCAGTACCATGAACTTGAAATCAGCATCAGAAAATAGGACTCAAAAGAGAAGACTTGGGGATGTTTTATTGGTGTTTGTTAGTTCCCCAGGTTTATGTAATATGTCATAATTCGAAGATATGCACTAAAAGTATCAGCCTGTCCTTTATAGGGAAAGACATTTTAAATGTTACATTACAGTAGATGGAAACAGAGAACAGTAGATAGGTCTTAATGCCTAAAGCCCAGCACAAGGTGGTAGAGTATAGCTCAGTAACCAGGAGATCATTTTAGAGGCAACATTGGAGAGTTGAAATGAGACATGTGGCAAAGATGATGGATGCATGGTGGAAGGCAGACAGCATCTAGCAGAGAATATGTCATTGACATCACCAGAAGATTTTAGCAGTTCTGCAGTTTGGAGATACGTCACCCCAGTCACATGTGCCATAGCCATATCAGTTCTTGATGTGTTTCCATTCACATGTTTCATTGACAAACAACTATGGGTGCCTCTTCCGTATTTGTTCTCAGGTCATGTATATACTCTCCATACATGTTCTTTCCATCTGCTCTTCTGATAACCTGTGGGGAAATGTACCCTGTGTGTGCATGGGGGTATTTCGTTACTTTATTTGTTACGTTGTTAGATTAAATACCTTTTGTTTTGAGTTATTCTGTCTAATGCCTGTCTGGTAAAAGTAAAAGTACTTTTTGGGACATGCAAGTTATGTTTTTAAGAGGGTACTGATAACCAGGCTGACTCAAACCTGGTGTTGATTTTCTGAGGGCCTACATTGGGAGAGGCAGGTATTGTATTAGGGACAATCATTCTGACTACAGACCTGTCAAAAAAGTGGGTTAGATTGCTTCATGAACTACCACTGGTAGTTTTAAGTGGTAAACATCACTTGCCAGAGATGTTACAGAGGGCATTCCTCTTCAGATTCAAATTGAACCACATAACCTCTGAGGTCCTTCCCAACTCTTAGTTTTCGGTGGTTGGGCTAGAAAAATACTTCAGTAGGAATACCTTAAGAGCACAGACAGTAGATGATAGAAGTAAAATGATATGGGAAGAATCTAGGGATTGGGAAGATGGGTTAAATCCAACAAGATAGATGACTTAACAGGAAAAGTAAGAGGCTGGGTGACTCATTGAGTGACATGTTAATAAGAGATGGCTAATGGCTAGCATGAGTTGGTATTGGAGGTGACTGCCAAAATTTCAAGTAAGAGCTAAAGTAGGGATTCTTTTTGTGTGTATAAGTTAGAGTCAGTACTCACTGAGGTAATTTTCTATTTTAAAATCCTGTTAATCTGGTTCTGGACTTGAAGCCTACACCAGAATGTGTCTTATTCTTCCAGAGACCTAAAGACCCTAGCTTTGACTTGAATTGGCATATGAATATTTGCTATATTAGAAAAAACAGAACAAAACCAAAAACCACACACAATACAAAACCCCCCCAAAACAAGGAACAAAATACCTCCACAAAACCCAAACTTACAGCAACAATGCAAAGTTAATATGGAGAGGTAACAAATCTGGAGAAATGTAATGGTACATATTAGTACCATGCAAGGCCCTGTATTCTGTTAGCAATTGATAAACTAGTTGCTTTTAGAGGACTGTATTTCGTAAGGAGGTTTGTTTGGCTATTTGTTATGAAGCCTTGTGTCAAAACAGTATATTAATACTTTAAAAAATGCCGTGGGTCAAAGACCACAAGATATACTTTCAACTAGAAGAGAACAACAACAATAAGGAATACTAGAAGAGACTTATCCTACATCAAGTAAAAGCGTATGAGACAGTAAGTAGGATTTATCTAAGTTGTGTCTTTATTTTACCTTGTATACAAATCTCTTGATCACAGGATCTTTCTTGGTTATGAATGTGGAATAGACTATTTGTGGAATGTTAAGAGAAAGCTGAAGATATGGAGAGTGGTGCTTTTAAGATGGGATTTGTAGAACACGGTAATGATTGATGTATGTGTAATCATCAGGTCACACTGGGAAGCGAACCATCATAATTATTCTCATTTAGTCAGAGGTCTATGTGAGTATGCCAAGAGAGTTACCTGTCATGGAGTTTTCCAGCAACTCATATCGTTTCCCTTTGCAGAGTCAGGGCCTTTTCAAAATGAGTAGACCAAAATGACAAGCCCTATTGACTTGGCTCACTTGTGAAATTTTTAGCTTGGATTTTGCTGGGAGTACCTTGATGTTGACTTCTTTGCTATGTGATGATCAAAGTTTACTAGTTTACCTCTGGCCTCTACTTTGGTTTTAGGATCTGACAACTGTGATAGTCCCCACTAAACAAATTAGGCTTTGGTCTCCTGAAAGGAAAACCCACTCCCTACTCTCTCTCTTAGCTCTGAGTACTAAGTAAAATCCAAAAGCAGCTCAGATTTATGTTGGTTGACATTTTCATCATGTTAAAAGTTTAGTTACAAAAATGTGCCTTTTGAGCTTCTAGAGTCCTATGGAGGGAGAGAAGATAAAGGAAGAAAAAGATATCATAGTCAATACCTTCAAAAACAAAAACAAAGTGCAATGCCAAGAGTGAAAGACTGGAAGAGTAGTTTTTAAACTAGAAAAGGACAACAACAATCAGGAATATTTAAGGAGACTGTTTAATCTTCATTCCTGCATCAAAGTAATGTACAGTGTGATTAAATTAGTGTGTTTTACCTCAATGATTTGCTTTTTACCCTCTATTTAAAGCACCAGATCACAAAATCTTTGGCATTAATGTGAGAAAAACTGTGCTTGTAGGAAGCTGAGAGAAGAGGGTAATGCATTTTTAAATCCTTTATTTTGTTTTTTTAAATAATAGATTTTTAAATAAATAAATTGAGTACTTCTATATATACAGTAGATCAGAAAAGAGAATTGTATATAGTACTGAAGACTTTCAATTACATGTAACTTGCTTTTCTTTTCTGTGTAATAAATTCCACATGTAACTCAAAGTTCTGTTTCTCTGTAGTTCTCTTCTGGTCTTCCATTCTCTTCTCTTCATTTAAAAAATGCTTTAAGGACTCTCTTCCCACTCCCCCTCCTTTTTTTTGTCTACCCTTTACCTTTTATGTGGAGTCAAAACTGCCACCTTTCCTACACCACCACCCCCATTTCCAGCTTCCACTCCCTTTTGGAAAAGAAAAAAGAAAAACAAAACACTTGGGGCAAATAGGCATAATCAAGCAAAACATATTGTCAAATTGGCTCTTTTTAAAAATCTATGACTCATTTTACATCATGATTCTATTACCTCTCTGTCGGGAGGTGGATAGCATGACTGATGAAGTCATCATCAGTCCTCTGGAATTATGGTTGGTTCTTGCATTGATTGGTGTTCTTAAGTCTTTCAAAAGCATTTTTCTTTATGTTTATTGAATACATGGTTCTTTTTATTTACACTTAGTTCATATACATCATCCCAAGTTTCACTGAAACCATGCCTTTTTTAATTTATTACACCTCGATATAATATTCCATTGCCTTCAAATCCAGCTTAATTTTTAGTTCTTTAATTTCTTCGGAGAATAAACCTAATAATGATATCAAGTCAAATGGCTTGCACAATTAAGTGGCATTTTCCTTTACTGTTGTATTAGCCAATCTGATGGGTATGAGGTGGTGCCTCAGAGTTGTTTTGATTTGCATTTCTGTAATCAGTAGTGATTTAGAGCTTTTTTTCATGTGACTGTAGATAGCTTTGATTTCATTTGAAAACTACCTGTTCATATCCTTTGATCATTTATCAATTGGGGAATGACTTGTATTCTTATAAGTTTGATTCAGTTCTCTATGTATTTAAGAAATGAGGCCTTTATCAGAGACATGAGAGTGGATTTTTAAGAATTTAGAGTGATCTCTTAAGGGTTGACATAACTAACTCCACTTTGTTCTGTATTTGTCATTTTACTATGTGTGGCTTCTGCATAAACTACAAGATCAGCTTACAGTAGCTGTTTTCTTTCAGTGTCTTCTTTCCTTTTCTAATTGCTGCATTGCTATGACTTAATTGTTGTAGAGGATTTTAACAGCCACAGGCATCTGCTCCCCTTCTTTTGTTTTTCAGTGATGTATGGTCCCTTTTGACTTAGTATGAGTAACTGTGCTAATAAGGACACATTCATTCTGTAGCTAGTGATTAACATTTTCTTTAAAAGTATACCTTTTTTTCCTCTTTGTATAACCAGTTAGTAATAAGCAACCATTTTTTTCGTTGTCTCATTTAACATATAAATATTACTAGACGAATTATATAACACGCTTGTCCATCAGCTGCTAGTAGAATGTAGCTTACTGTGAGTGAATAAACTATAGTACATTCTTGTCTTTATATGGTATTTGGTTTATTGGCGGTAACTACTCAGCAGTCTCAAAGAGGACTCATGCAACAGTTTTGGCAACTCAGATGGGATTAACCGTTGTATATGATCTCAGATCCCTAATTCCAAGAATTTTCCAGCATGTACCAAGTGAGCCCACTTGTTTGGATACTTCTAGAGAGGGGGAACTAGGAAGGCTGATAAAGTTGCAGTCCAGTACCTTCGTTCTCTAAATTGAGAGTTCTACAGAAACAGGTTAACATTTTGTATATATTTGTCTTTCTTTTGTACCTCAAAAATGTCTTAGATGTAAACTGTTAAACTGAGGCATACATCAACCAGGCGGCCCCTTTGATAACCTGATGAGCTTGGTGTTATGATGCAGGACTTGAACACAAGGGCTTGGCTGAGGAACCTTATGTTTCAATGGGAGGACTTCCTCTATTTCTGGGTGGAATGCCTGGGATAGGACAAGGATTTTTCTAAACCCTATGCCCCTTCACCTTATTTTTTCACAAAATTGTTGTTTGTCTGATGGGTCTTCTGTCATATTCAGTTACTGTATTGTCCTAGTCACCCTTCCTGTCTAAGTTCCTGATTTTTTTTCTTGTCTGGTCTGGTATTTCTGGTTTGGTCCACTTTGGCCAGGTTTGGTCCTAACTTAAATCTGGAGTAGTCAGTAGGATTCCTGTCACTAATGATATAAAGCTGACATAAGTCTCAATTCTTGTTTTAAGTAGTTGGTCATTATGGGATCCAGCATTTCTGGTCAATCTATTCTAGAACAGAGATGGGTCCATTTTGACTAATTTGAAACAAATTCCAGCAAGTTCTAAGTCCATATTTCTTGAGCTCTGTCAATCTAGATGGCCATCCTAAACCTATGCTACTTAATGACCTTGGCCATTATCTGGTACCTTCAGTCATAAACTTTACAAGTCCCAAAGAGTCAAATAGAGATTCAATTCCCAAAGCAAATAAGTTATTGATTTATTTGGGCTAACCTTGGAGTGCATGAATTTTTCATCAAAGTGCAAAAGAAATTCTTCCTTCTTGGGAAAAGAAAAAAAAACACATGAGACTTCAGCAGAGGATGCATGCTGGTCTTCTTGGCCACCTTCTTTCTTTTTTTTACCTTCTGTCCTACCACCTCCCTCAAATACCCTCTGTTTGGTGACATAGGTACTCCAGTCATAGATTCATTTTGAGACCAATACCATCACTCTTTATGACCTTGCTCCCGAAAGGCAAGAAAAACCCTTATCTGAAATCCTCTCTCTGGTGACTGGTCTTCAGTAAGTGGGATGAGAAGAGAGAGGGAG